CTTCTTCTTCTTCTTCTTCTTCTTCTTCTTCTTCTTCTTCTTCTTCTTCTTCTTCTTCTTCTTCTTCTTCTTCTTCTTCTTCTTCTTCTTCTTCTCAACAGGTTGGTTGTGGATCAATAAAGAAGAGTGCATCGTTGACGAACGACATAATAATATACAAAACCCCACTGTCTAGTTGGTTGTAGATGCGTCATCTGTATATTCTATTTGTGAAAGTTCGTCACTTTGGTAGCCTTAAACTTCCGAACTACTTAATTTTCGAATCTGAAGAAAAAAATTACGGTGCACAGTTATATTAAGGAGTCTGAAGTCACTGTTGTTCAATTTTCAGTTTTTCGTTAGTTTCGTTTAAATATAATCTTTGGAAAGTCCGTCTTCTAAAACGCCAATATAAAAAGAAGTGAGGCTTCCGTTCACAAGCAGTGCGCACTGGTTCCACAATGACTTGACGATCGGTTCTTTTGAGTCAGTTCATGGAACGGGTACCCAGCTAGTCATAAATGTTTGTGGTACTTATATCTCGTTTTTTTTTGGGGGGGGGGAGGGAAGGGCAGATGGTTGCTTATTTATTTATTTATTTATTTTTAGCTCGCAGCTAGATATTTTTGCCCACAGATCTATGACAATGAAGTTTCCTCTGACTGTTGCCCGTAAACAAGAAAAAACAATTGCTACTCATGTTTCCTTTTTGTTCTTTGAAAGTTTCTCCTTTAAAAAAAAAAAGCCTTGAAAACAAAATCAGCATGACACATCTTTCGAGTTAAAGGTGAAAAAATCCCAGCCAAAAAATATAATACATGTAATAATAAAATCTGAAGTTCATGTTGTAAGGGAAGCCTAGTGATGCTTTTTTCTCTATCAGTCTGTTTAGAAATAGTTATGTCCCTTAATTTCTTTCTAACATTTTTAGCCGCTTGCGCAACAGAAAGTGCACCTCTTAAAAATAACATAATGAAATTCATCATGAAAGTATATACATTTTAATGCATCTGTCTGATTCTTCTCTATGTGTATGTGTGAGTGTTAGTGTCTGTGTATGTGTATGTGTATGTGTGTGTGTGTGTGTGTGTGTGTGTGTGTGTGAGTGTTAGTGTCTGTGTATGTGTA